ACCCAGAGGTGGATTCGGCTTGTATTTGAAAAAAAACTTCCAATAAAGCTACCCAATCGTCCGCTATATGATGTGGAGATTGCACATTATGCGAAAATACTTAAAATACCACATTTTCGAGGCGTTTTTATGAATGACGCTCTGCCTAGAGACGGTCCACGACAACGAGAATGTGCAATAGTAAACTTGGATGTGTCCACACATAACGGGACACATTGGGTAGCATATAGAAAGATAAACAGCGACGTAGAGTATTTCGATTCATTTGGTAATTTAAAGCCGACCAAAGAACTTGTTAAGTATCTGGGTGGTGCACGTGCCAACATTTCCTATAATAACCATCAGTATCAAACGTACAATCAAATTATTTGTGGACATTTATGCTTAAAGTTTTTATATAATGGAGCCTACTAAAAGTACGAAACTGCTTATGGACCATATGTTTCACAAAAAATATTTTACAGAATTCAGTGAAGAAGAACTAAAATACATACCGCTCGATTATCTTATACGAACTGTACGACCTTCAGAATTGTTAAGTATATGGCATAAATTGCCTGAAGACTATCGAGGAGAATTTAACTTGCAGATACTACTTCCCTGCTATGTACATTACAACAGACCTGATTGGAAGACTCACTGGGATGGTCCACCTGATTCTCAAGCTAAATGTCATTTATGTAAACTTGTTTTGGAACAAATAAAACTATTAAAGTAAATATTGTTTTTCTAATATAATAACCTATTACTAGATTGACGTGAGTCAGTCATCATGTCGCAGTTGTTGAGAGTAGACAGCACCAATTACATATTCTCATTTCAACCTCCCACACCGATCGTGTTGGATCCGAACAAAGATTATGAAATAGCTCTTCGTGCTTTCCATTCCTACAACAGTATACCAAACATTGAAAATAACAAGTTTTATTACTACGATAACACAAACCAATTACAACACTTTGATTTCCCCGATGGATGTTATGAAATTGCCGATATTGAAGAATATATACAAAAGAAATTGGGTGCTGATAATGTGCTTAAGCCCGAAACGATATTTAGTCTGAAACCTAACCACAACACGTTGCAATGTCAAATTTTCAGCAAATATAAGATTTCGTTTACGCACCCTGACAGTCTTGGTACAGTATTGGGATTTTCTCCTGCAATTCTCACTCCAGGACAGACACATTCTTCAGATCGACCTGTTAGGATTATTAAAGTATCTAGCATACGCTTTGAATGCAACATTAGTACCGGAGCCTTCGATGGTAACAGACCTGCTCACACAATCTACGAATTTGTCATACAATCAAATCCTGGGTACGCAATTGACGAAACTCCACACAATTTGTTGTATTTACCTGTTGTACCGCAACGAGAAATTACCAATATCACTGTGTTGGCTGTCGATCAAGACGGACGCCCTGTAAACTTTCGAGGAGAACAGAGCACCTTGGTGTTGGAACTTAGATCACGTGGGAAATGGGATTAGTAATAAGACAATCTACTGCCCATAGTACACCATTAGTTGTGCAGCCGTCTGAGCGACAACATCGTACGTCCTCATCTAAGCGGCAACATCTTACGTTTGCAAACAAATTGTTTTTACAATCACTTGGTTTTAAGCTGAAAAAATGACAACCATGTATGGAAAACGATCCCGTTCAAACAGCATAATGCCTCCAATATTTGATATTTATCGTAAGCCGATGTTTGACGAATCGATTCGAAAGGCCGAATACCGAACATATGCACCATTCATCAAATCATTCAACTGTAATGACATTGTAGAATTTAGCATCAATCAAGTTGACTCGTTTTTTGCAATGAGTGAAACCTTGTTATGCATTAAAGGATCGCTCGCAATAAACGGCAATGGTGAAGTCAAACTAGCAAATAATGTGGGTGCTTTTCTTTTCGATTCGTGTACGTACAGCGAAAGCGCAAGGGAGATGGAAACAGTGCGGGATCCTGGTATCGTAAGCGCTGTACGTGCTATGACATGTTATACTCAAGAAGATTCCAGTCATATGGCAATGGCTGGGTGGAATTACCCTAAGGATCCAATTCTACACGCTGCCGATCATTCATTCAACATACAGATGCCTCTTAAGCATGTTTTCAACATTTTCAATGATTATCCTATGATTACGTGTGGTCGTCAAACAATAAGACTAGTTCGAGCTCGAAATGACAACGATTGCATAATTGTCAAAGAAAAAACTCCAGGTCATGTTACAACTGTTAAGATTAACATTACCAATATTGAGCTTAGAGTCAAGCACATATTTCCCAATGATGATATTAAATTGGAACTTATGAAATCCATTCAACAAGATCAACCTATAGTTATTCCTTTTAGAAAGTGGGAATTGCATGAATTACCAGCACTTACCAAAGGCGCTAGACGTGAAGTTTGGGCTGTAAAAACTAGCAATGCAGTGGAAAGACCTCGTTATGTCATTGTTTTCTTTCAAACCAATAAACGTGACAAAAGCGACGCCGATCCCACCTTATTTGACAATATCCACATACAAAGTATCAGATTATCTTTAAATGGAGAATATTGGCCGAACGAGAGAATGCAGTTGGATTTTAGCAAAACTGACTACAATGAGGCCTATTTCAATTATACCGAATTCTATCCTAGCTACATACATTCTCAACAAAAGCGACCTCTGCTCGATTTCTCAGGTTTCGCACAACACACATTGTTCGTCATCGATTGTTCGAAGCAAGAAGAAAGCATGAAAGCATCCACTGTTGACGTAAAACTCGATATTGAAGCGAATAATGGTTTTCCCGAAAATACCAAGGCTTATTGCATTATAATTCACGACTGTGTAATGGAGTACTTCCCTCTCTCTGAAATTGTAAAAAGTCTAAATTAGATGCATAAATTGCCAGTAGTACACGAGCAGTCATCATGAGAGTAGCATTCGTAGACATTCAGGGATTCAATGTGGATGGATGGTTTGTTCCCAAAGAACTTACCATTGAAATAGGTTTTAAACGAAGTCATTACATCTTCTTGCCTCAGAAACCTTTTAATGCGCTCAGTAGTGAGGATAAGAAGACTGCATCATACGTGGAGAAAAAACTGCTTGGAATTCGATACTCTGATGGACACGTAGAATTGTCCAAAATCAATGAAATACTAGAATCCAAGTTGTTGTATGCAGCAGATTACATCTACGTTAGAGGAGAACAAAAAGCAGAATATTTGGATAAGAAACGTCACGTTTTTGGAGTTTTTCCCATTATTATTGATGTTTGCAAGTTTGATGGTACACCTCATGCTACTGGAAACGTTGGCCCTACTGCAAACCCATGTCATGCCTCTGGATTATTTTCATGCACCGAAAGAAATGTGGATCGTCTACGTCACTGGTTTGCCAATAACATAATTCCATTGTAATTTTATGTATAAATAAATATATTAGAAATTAAAAGCTTTTTTATTTATCACATCTTTATTGATCGAGTCTTATATTACAAGAAGATTCAAATTTTCTCCTTACAATTTCGAAAATAATTTTTAAAATTAGAATAAATACAGATGCTAATATTACACAAGACATTGCAAAGACATTGTCTATTTCACTTTTCATATGCTCGCTGGTGTTGTTGCTAACGTCCATGGTATTGGTTGAATACGTCTCAATGGATATGAAGCTGGTGGCAGTTTTCTGCAGGCGTAAATCCAGGTGTCTTGCTGTTGCTGCTGCTGTAGATTCAACTCTTTTGGTTTCCACGTTTTTTCCTCAATATGCAGGCTATCTAATTGTCTTTTAATTTGTTTTATATTCTCATATGATTTAATGTCTCTATTTAACTGATCAAGTTTATGTTGAAATTCCATAACCCTATGTATGTACTCGATGGAATTCATAGTACTACTGAATATGTCCTATGTTGAATGTCACGTTTTATGTCAAGCGATGTCTTGACTGACACATAACTGTTACGTCAAAACGTCTCACGTCACGTAATTCCTACATTTCACGTTCTGTGACAAATGTCACATATATGTCACGTCCTGCGTCGAATGTCACGTTATTCACGCAACATTTTCACGTTCTGCGTCGAATGTCACGTCATTTCACGTTCTGCGTCAAATGTCACATAAATGTCATGTCCTGCGTCGAATGTCACATAAATGTCACGTCCTGCGTCGAATGTCTCGTCAATTCACGTGTCATTGTACGTTCTATGTCAAATGTCACATAGATGTCACGTCCTGCGTCAAATGTCACGTCCTACGTCGAATGTCACATAGATGTCACGTCCTGCGTCAAATGTCACGTCCTACGTCGAATGTCACATCATTTCACGTGACATTTCACGTCCTGCGTCGAATGTCACGTTCTGTGACAAATGTCACGTCCTGCGTCGAATGTCACGTGACATCCAACGCTTTGACACCTCATACGTCACAATCCGACCAATAGCAACGAAGATACGTTTTAACGCCCATTTGGCAACGCCGCCATCTTTGTTTTTTGTCTCTTCGCCTTCTCCCCGTTCCAACGAGCCCTCGTACGTCACGATCGGACCAATAGAAACGAAGATACCCCATAATGACCTTTTGGCATGCTCCGATGCGCACGGCACATACTGCATTCAACCCCATTTTTCATCCCCTTTCCAACGAGCCCTCGTACGTCATCGTACGTTAAGCCGTTTGGAACTTACGACCGGGGGTTGCGATTTTAGGGGTTGCAATTTAGGGGTTGGTCTCAAAAGTACATAGTATATCTACTCAAGTGTATATCAACGTTAATGTCATAGTATCTCTAAATTAGTATGTTCTTCTCAAGTACTGATTTTATTTTGGAGCCCGAACTATGTATCACTAATGTCCTCCTCTAACATACAGTAGACAAAAAACCAAATAAAAAGGGGACTATGAATTTCACTATAAACGCTTTTAATTTTTGTTATTAAATAAACTATTATTTTTAAGAAAATAAAAATTTACACTAATATTGTACACTTTTAGGAACAAAATCATGCGAGGCGTTTTGATTTTTATGTGTGTCATCGTGACAATCAGTGCTCTTTCTGATAAACAAATTGCACAGGAATGGATTAAATTCAAAGTAAGTAATGGTATATAAATAATGTCGGTAAAACTTATATTTAGAAGTCAACAAATATACATACAAAAAGTGGCCACCCTATATATTTTCGAAAATAAAAATTCATTGGAAGTTTTATAAACTGTTTTATATTGCATCTCAAATTAAATATTTTTTGCAATCTTGTATGCTTGTTTTTGACAGTTTCGATGCTTATGGTTCCGGTTGTAGAAGAGTTACCTCGCAAAGAGATGATCTTTTTATTGTGATGGAACTTTTAAAAAACCGCTATTCCACTGAAATTGCTGAAGAAACCATTTGCAGGAGGTTTAAAATGGGAAAATAAGTAAGAGAACGGTTAAAAGACGCCTCAATGAAAGACGGCTAGTGGCAAGAAGGCTATTGTTCCAGAATTACAATTCAGACACTATAGAAATCGATTAATTTTTTCTCGACATCATCATCACTGGGGTATACAGGATTGAAGCAGAATTCTCTTAACTGATGAATCGTGGTTCTGTTTAAAGTCTGGCGATGTCTGAGAGAGGATTTGAAATTGGAGAAATAAAAGATATGCCCAAGCTTGTATTGTCTTAGTGAAGAAAGTTTGGCGATGCTGGTGTCATGGTTTGGATTGGAATTTCACTTGAAGCTCGAACTGAACTTATTTTCATCAATGGCTCCCTGAATGCTTACTGGTATATAGAGAATGTTTTGGCAGAAACAGTAGTTTTTTCTGGTTTTTTATTGGGGACAATTTCGTCTTTATGCATAATAATGCACGGCCACATACTACAAGAATCCTGACATATTACTTTTGGAAAGTTGGAATTAAGACTCTAAAACGGCCAGTCTCGAGGCCTGCAGTTTCGATCTGAATATCATCGAACATCTTTGGGACAAACTTCATTGTAGGGTTATAAGTCAACCAGCCCAGCCAGAAAGTCTTGCAGAACTTCAAAACAGAAAAAGGGAGATTTAGTCTGTGCAAATTTTCTACCATTATCTGCTGAATTTTTTGCATAACATGTGATACATCTTCTTCTGGCCGAACTTTGCAATTCGTCCATATGGTGACATTCACGAGTATGTGGCATATGTTGCTCTGGATTAGTTAGTCTAGTAAAATCTACAAGTTGACAAACCAATTCTTCCTTGAAAGATGTGATGGACACGTTAGTGTTGGTTAGTTTTTATTAAATTATATAGGCGTTGACAATAGCTGACCTAGAAGGAGCTCAATTGATATTTTACGATACCATGTCACTGATTTTCGTAATGCTGTAGAGTAAGCCTTTAGTCGGTCGGATATATCCAGAAATCCTTTGCTCTTATTGTAGTCGACAACAGAAACTGGCTTTTCAACAATTCCTTTGATGGACGTCTACCATTTCAGCAGTATGCCATGTACTCAGCATAAGCACTTCGCGTTTGTCCTTCCACTTAGTTACTACTACACCTGTGTTACCCTCCATCCCAATAATCTCACCTTTCTTTAATTTTGCACCTGTCACTTCATTAAATATAGAGACATATTTTCAGTTTTATCAATACCACAATAAATTTGTAGATCATAAGTATAACCTTCATCCAAACAGAGTTTGTACACCTTCACCCCGAATTTATGTCTCTTGTTTTTGATATACTGCCAAAATGACAGTCGGTCCCTAAACGGAACTACAGTTTCATCAATGCAGACTTCTTCCCCCGGCACTACTACTCTCTGAAAATTTGATATCAATTTCTCCAATGGGCGTGGTACTTTATAAAGTCGAAGTTCTTTATCACTATTTTCATTGTAATTAAATACGAACACAACTTTGGCAATTTTTGCAATCCCATCCAGACAAGAATGGCAAAAAATGACTTTATTTCTTCGGTATATGTATCTATCCACCTATACTCATCTTTTGATGTGCATATCGATTAGTTTCTTGCAAAATCCAATCAATAATATCGTCATTTACAAATAGTTGAAAAAAGTCAAGGGGAGTTTTATCATACATCTCAAAAACCTCGGCTTTGATACCCGAGTCTTAAACACTGAATCTAATGTTTTTTAAGTTCTGACCATCTACCATGTTTCATAACAAGGGCTGGTTATGATCAATCACAATGTCATCGTCTTCTGATGAGCTTTCATTATCTGACAATCGATATTGGGAAATAACATTTTCAATGGTATCGTCTACTTTTCGTAAGTTTTGCGATGTTGAAGGTAAATCTTGTAAATTACCTTGCATTTTTTGTCTTTTGCTCTCCGGAACACTTTGATTTGACGAAGAACTACTTATTTCGTCATCACTATCTAATTCAAAAATTTTATCACGAACACTGTCATCACTCTCTTCGTCTGAAAAAAACTCTTCCACTAGCTTATGCAACTGATAATACACACTACAACCTCGCCTACTGACAACTAACTAATAAATAACACGTAGTGCATTTGTCTAGCGAATGTAGCGAATGATTTTGTACGCAAACTAAAACATAACTATTAAAAATGCATAGACTAATACTTTAAACGTGTCAATGACAAGTTTTTTTTATTTTTGTATTTTGCGACTATTGAAGTAATATTTTTGTATTGTCTTTTTTGGGTATTCCTGTATTCTCTGTTTTGTAACTGTTTGTGGTAACACACAATAAATGTTAAATTTTGTTTTTGAGTTTTATTTGAAAAAGATATGTTTTTTATGTTAAATAATTATTTCCCTAGTTACAACTATTGGTTGTAATAGGTATAATTAGGCACCTCAAAGTGGCGCCCTATATTAAATTACTAGAGGTGTTTCCTGTTTATTTTTATTTTGTTTGATCCAAGAGATTAATGACCCATTTATTTCATTTTTTGTAGTTGCCCCAATCCAAACCCCTTTGCCATTTACTTATCCTTAGCGATTTACTCTCCTAACAAACCCTGGGTGCCGTTCTCACAAGTAGCGTTTATTTTGCTTGCAATATTTTTACCCCCATAATCTTACCCTGAGGTAGGCAAAATATTTTCGTTACAATATTGGTTGGTAAAATTAATCTTTTTTGTAGGAAAATCACAACAAAGTATACCTAAACATTGTCGAAGAAAAAACCCGCTTTGAACATTTTAAAACAAACTTGTATAAAATTCACAGCCACAACAAAAAGTATGCCCAAGGAGAAGTGTCATGGTACATGAAAGTCAACCAATTTGCAGATTTTTCTCAAGCTGAATTTAAACATAGGTTAAACTTACAAAAGTCAATGAGACCAGTAGCAACCAACGTAACGTACTACCGATTCCCTAGCGGTTTACATGCTCCAAATGCTATAGACTGGAGACAACAAAATGCTGTACGTGAAGTTAAAAATCAAGGAAATTGCGGAGATTGTTGGGCATTCAGTGCTGTAAGTATATTAAAGTAATACATTCAAGTTTGAGTGTTTTAGATATTCTAATATAAATTCAAACATTTAATAAAACTTTCTTTACCTTACAGACAGGATCGCTAGAAGGCCAATTTGCTCTTAAAAGAAACAACCCTGTGTCTCTTAGTGAGCAACAACTGTTAGACTGTTCTTCATCCTACGGAAATGGAAACTGCGACGAAGGTGGCAGCATGGGTCTTGCTTTTGACTATATACGCGATAATGGAATTATGGCTACTGACGCTTATCCATACGAAGGACAGCAAAGTTACTGTAGATACGATTCCAACAGAATTGTTGGTAAAATCAGTGGTCAAGTACACGTTGAGAGATTGAACGAATGGGCCCTAGTAGAAGCTGTCGGTAAGTTTCAGAGTAATTTATTTATGTAACATAAATTTTAAATGTGGATTTGGGACACGGGAAGCATTAACCAGTTTTATTATACTGCTGCAAAAATGTCGAGACTAAAAAAAGGATCTCTTTTGATGTTTTATTGACTATCAAAAGGCCTTCGACAAAGTAAAACATGATAAGCTGATGGATTGCCTTCACAAAAAGGGACTAGACGAGAACGATTTTAAAATTATCCAAACGCTGTATTTTAACCAAACTGCAGCAGTTAGAACAGAAGCCGGTGACACAGAAATATTCAATATCAAGCGAGGTGTACGACAGGGGTGTGTATTGTCACCACTACTTTTCAATATATATTCGGAAGAAATCTTTGCACGAGCACTAGAGCAATCAAGAGAAGGTGTTAAAATTAACGGCAGAGTTCTAAATAATGTACGATACGCCGACGACACGGTCCTAATTGCAGAGAGCGCACAGGATCTCCAGACACTCTTAGATCGCTTCAGATCGATCGGAGAACAATACGGCCTCAGCATTAACGTCAAGAAAACAAAAACAATGATCGTCTCCAAAACATCCATCCATCCACCCATGGCTTTAAACGTGAATGGTAACATTATCGAAAATGTCGAGAAATTTCGATATCTAGGGTGCTGGATAACGAAAGATATAGATCCAGACATAGAAATAAAATCGCGAATTGAACAAGCAAGAAATGTCTTTTTAAAAATGAAACAAATGTTTACGTCCCAAACACTCAATCTCAAAATCCGATACCGAATGCTGAAATGTTACGTTTACAGCACCTTACTATATGGAATGGAGGCCTGGACCTTCAAAATCAACTCACTAAGGCGTTTGGAAAGTTTTGAAATGTGGTTATTTCGAATTATGCTGAAAGTCCCCTGGACAGCGCATATGAGCAACGAGCAGGTCCTACACAAGATGAGTACCGACAGAGAACTCTTAAAAATAATGAAAACACGGAAAACCTCATATTTGGGACACATATATAGAAATGAGAAATACCAGCTACTGCAGCTTCTTATAGAGGGGAAGGTAGAAGGAAAACGTGGTCCTGGTAGACGGCAGGCGTCCTGGTTGAAGAACATTCGTGAGTGGACTGGTTTGGATTCTCAATCTTTAATAAGAGAAGCCAGGGACAGAAATGATTTTGCTGAGGTTATTGCCAACCCTCATTGAAGACGGCACCCAAAGAAGAAGAAATTTTAAATAGAAACTTAGTAAGAATACATTTAAAAATGCTTTTTTTTGCTGATAGCCTATTGTCACTTTAGGATCTGTTTAGACTGTTTCAAAAGTGTTACTTAAATTTGGTGGCAATAGAGTATATTTTCGTGGCATTGGATAAGGTTTGATACAGGAATTCTGTCTATATCCTTGTCTTTTAGATCTCTAGGAATTCCGCAAATAATCTTATTACCTTTCACATAATAACGATCAACAGAACAATGAGTATCATCAGTAGTTTAGTGTTTAAATAGGAAATCTACTGATGGTGTTCCAATCATGTACGGATGTGCCGTGGTCGAAATGCTCTGCGCAAAGTACTATGTTTAGAAAATTATTTTCTCGAATGTATATAATATCATGTTTGGGCGTGTTGATCTATTTCTATTTTAACCCATTTGATCCCACGACATTTTTTTTTTCGATAATACAAGATTTTTTTGAATATCCTTGTTGAATCTGGGTTAAATAGTAACAATTCATTGTTATTTGACAAAAAAAATTTAAATTTTTAGCAAAAAGTAGGTGTACTCATACGAGTACAATCTGCTGATCGGGAGTCAAAAATATAAAACATTGTGTAAAAATGAAAATATTTTATTTTTTTCTTATATATAGGTGCATACTTGGTTACATCCTGTATTATAATCTAACGAGTATGAAATTGTACAAAACAATCACGTTCAATACACAGAGTAACTTCACACTTTATACAAGTCCAACGTACTCTTTGATGGCATAAGCGACATCAAAGTTGTTTGTCTATTTTCTTAGGAAAATGACCGCTTCCATCCATTTTTAGACTAATTGGTACAGATCCTGCTAGTCGTTTTTTAGAATAAGTAGATTTCTCAAAACTTCTTAAATAATGACGTACTAGATCTCATTGAAAATCCAAAAGATCCATTTCTTTATTTCCAGCAAATATTTGTAACCTCCACGAGTTAACAAGAGCTGAGTTGAGCATGTGGGTAAAAATGGGCCACCACCATTTCTTACCTTGTATACTGACTCGGTAGTTATTAACCGATTGGTCAAAGAGATCAACACCGCCATTGAAGTATTGTATGATGAGCAAATATTTGGTTGGGGTACATCAATTTTTTGTTTGGCAGCAGCACTCCAACGATTCACTTTTGAAAGTGGTTCAATACTATCGTAATTTGATGCCATTGTGACAACATTGTTGTCGTTCCATTTTACAAAAAGTAGTAGACTTGTCTTGTCAAAGCGATATTCGAAATATCCACGATTCTTCTTTTTAATTACAGCGAAAGGTAACAAAGGATATTTTTTTATACGATTTTCTATTGCTGTGCCTGTTGCTCTAAAGCCCTTCTCTTTTAAAGTTTCCATCAAATCGTAACTAGTAAAATAATTGTCAAAAAATACTTCGTGATCTGTAGGCACATCAACGACATCAAGCATTTTTAGAACAACTTGTGATCCTAAAGGCAACGCCACGACTTTTGGTTTATCCACTGATGCTCCACAATATGTGTCAAAATTGTAGCAATAACCAGTTGAACTACAAAGCATCCAGTCCTTGTACCCGAATCTTACTGGCTTTTCCCTTATGAACTGTTTTGATGAGTGATGCCCAAACTACTTTATCATCGCTTCATCAATTGATAAGTCTTTGTGGAATATGCCAAATTGTTGAAATTTTTTATTTAGTTTGTTCATGAGAGGCCTCACTTTATACATTTTGTCCCTTGTATCAATTTTCGAATTATCTGCCAAATGTAGGTATTTTTTAATTTCTTGGAAACGGTTCCTTGAAATTGCATCAGCCATGAAGGGAATATGAAGATCCTCATCTAAACACCAATAGTTGCGCTCTCATGGCAATCTATGGTATCCAGTATAAAGTGAAACAGCCAGAAATATCTTTATCTCTTCCTGCGTTACATGAAATTACTGGTTATTATTTTGAGCGGCATATAAATTTGTCTGCTGTGTAATATATTCAATAATTTCATTGTCGAAAAATTTCTCAAATATTTCTATAGGATATTTACCTCGGATTTGTTCTTTCATATTATCCAGACGACCCTCGTAACCTGTTGTAGATGTCATACTAATGTCAGTAATTTTTTCCGTCCAGTCAGATTTCTTTGTTTTGTTTTGACTCTTCAGTAAATTTTCTCTTCTAATGGCAAGAGGAATATTGTCTTCTTCGTCGTCATCAGAGTCATCACTCGTGTAATAAACCTCTATTTCTCCGGGAACGTCAATCGGAAGGCTTTGAGTCTAAAGATCATCCTCATCTATGTCGTCATTGTCAGTTTGATAGTCAATCTCAGGAGGAATGACTACCACTGATGCATCTTTATGAGTGGAACTCGCTATGTCATCTGAAGCTAAAGCAAGAGTTCTATAACGTTTTCCATAAAACCCAATGTGACTAATAGGCGGCAATTCTTGAAAATCCATTATAATACCAATATTGAACCTGAAACAATAAAAAACCATTTAATCATTTTGATCTCATACAAACCCACTGTACTCAGACGAGTGCAGGTCTATTTTGTAACATAAAAACAAAAATAATAAAAAAAATCTTATACTGAATAAATAAACATTACTAGTACTTACCCTTACAACAGTAAAAGTTAAAAAAATGATAAATAATATTAAAATCACAAAATAACAAGCACTTCAATAATCCAACAGAAATATCGAGGTTAGGTTATAATTACTGCGGTCAAAATACGAAGAAGAGCGCCACCTAGGGTATAATTTGTAAAAATCTAGTAGAACACTTCCTAATAGAATCGGACATACACGTGGAGTACCACTTTTTTGCCAGATGTGTTACTACTAGGCCATTTTTGCTGCTGTACTTAGACGAGTACAGTGGGACCAAATGGGTTAATCTGCTGCAAGTTAATTTCTTGGGACCAATATTGAGCGAACAATACCATCAATAGAAGAGCTCTGGAAAAATTTTAAATAGTTTTTCGACTATATTATGCATGGGTGCTTATTTTTTTCTTTTTCTTGCACATAATGTGATGTTGATACTATAATGTCGAGATATAGCCACACGACTCTTATCGAGTACAATTTCAGTCTCTTCCTAGTATAGCCCTCTTCCACTCTTACCAATCCTAGTGCAGCTAGATACTAGAAGTTGTTTCTCTTACTATTGGTATTAAGTTGTGTATAGGACGACAAATTATGCTTTCTGAAGTGTTACGATTCTTGACAAACTTTTGGCGCCGGAATGTGTTTCTATTAACTCATGTTCTTATTGATTAGTTTCCACTATTTCTGTATTTTTATTTTATGCGCTTGTTCTAAGAGATTCTGTATCACATAAGCTTTTTTTTTTGAAGGTTTAGCACCCGTCCGTTCAATGTCTCCAATTTTATTTTTTGATTCTAAGAAATGCTCAGCTGGTTTTATTTTAGACCCTACTAATTGATCTAATTTAATGTTTGACATATGGTAGGTGTCCTCACTAGTATTATTACATTTTCTAAAAATATTATTTAAAATTACTGGATTTATTTGTTGTTCTTGTCAACTTAGCCTTGTTGGTTTCGCGTTTCTCGGTAAATCAGTATCATCATCTCAAAAATTTCTTTTTCAAAATTTCGGCATCGAAGGACCAATGTATAAATTCACATATAATATAATTCGAATATACACATTTATGTCCTATTTTCGAAGTTCTCGATCGTCGATGTGAAAGAATTCGAAGTCGTGTAGAAACTGATTTATTGATAACTCCAAAAGAAGTACACTCGATGTAACTTCAATCAATGACTGAAAGATTTTTATTGAGGTAAATATTCTTTTAGACTATACATTAAAAGGAGTTTAATCTTAATTTAAAAGATCACAAATAAAAAGGACAATTTATCAGAAAGGCGATTGCCCCTAACTTAAGTTAAACCAAGTGCTTGTACAAATATAATTCGAACTACTAAATTGTTGCAACAGAATTTAGCAACTGATCCAATTTAACAAAAGGTAGATAACCTTGAAATTAAACTGTAGATATCTATTAATCTAAAAATAGGTAAATAATTATATAAAGGTATATAGAAACTTAAAATTAATGTGAGATTACAAATTACAGAGTTTAATTTGTAATTAAACATTGATAATGGTCTGATAGGACCAAAAATGTTTTTGCTATTTTAATTCGATACAATTTTTAAGATTTAATGTGTTTTTAACAAATACACTAAGTACATTAGTTATTACCACTATTTTATCCTCTGTGCAACTCCTTTAAACAACTGCTAATTAGTACAATATCATTAGAAAATCGCACGTGATTTAACTAGTGTCAATCTATGCTTGTACCTTTTTGTTCCCATTTATTTTTTTTAGATACTATCTAAAGTAAATTTAAATAACTTAGGCAATATCGCATCTGCTTGGCTAACTCCACTCCTCATTCTTATTGCGTTGGTTGCTAAGGTTTCAGTTATTACAACTTAAACTGTTCTTCTTTTTAGGGTGCCTGTGCGTTTCAAACGTTTGCGATCATTCTGGCTATGATGACTTTGTTGGTTGCTATACGAAATATTTATGTCAAAGTCTTTCTATACCATATTCTTAGGTTACCAAACTATGTTCTTCTTCGTCCTGGGGCAATTTTTCCTTCAATTTTACCTTGCAAAATACATTGGAGTAGCTCATATCTGCCTTGATTTCTCATTATATGTCCCAAGTACTGCAGCTTATAGCCCTTCACGATGTTGACCAAATCCGCTGTTGTGTTTATCCTCTATAGTACTTTTTATTTGTGACTTTGTCTGTCCATGGTATCTTCAAGATCCTTCTGTATAACCATAGCTTAAAAGCGTGAAGATTTGATAGAGTTTCCTCCTTCAATGTCCACGTTTCTTCTAGGGTGAGGTCATGGTTCTTAAACACAGAGCTCATAGTCAAGAATGCACCTTTTGCCTTGCTGATGCGCTATTTAATCTCTTGGGTATTGTCCCTTGACTCATTGATTATATTTTATTAGTTGTCGTACTGTGAGACACGTTCAATTCTAATTTGGTTAACATACAGATTTGCTCCAGTTGTTTTCCTTGCTGATGATCAGTAGCTTGGTTTTTCTGGTGTGTATATCCAGTCTAGATGTTCTACTTGTTTCCGTATTTTGTTATACAGAGAATATAACATAAGAAGACTAAACATTTACATCATAAATATCTTTTGAAATGGTTTATAATCAAACCTACAAGAAAGTACCTTGCAGGCACATATATTCAGAGAATATAACATAAGAAGACTAAACATTTACATCATGAATATCTTTTGAAATGGTCTATAATCAGACCTTCAAGAAAGTTCCTTGCAGGCTTATATCGAACATTAAATTGTTATCTACTTAAAACATTTATCCATTTGTAATCTATTTATCTGGTGTGTGTTGATAGATAAAGAAACGCAAAAGAAATATAGCTTTAGTCAAAAGTTTATTAAAGATCGTCTTGACGAACTAAACTAGAAAACAGGTTATCTTTATAAGTATCAGGCAAAATAAAAGGAAAGAAACAAACAAGCAGTATTTGTAGCAAAACCGAGCTCGACAGAAACTTTTGTCGACCTAGAGCTGTTTTGTGAGATTACTAAAGAACTATACTCAGGTTGTTATAATCTAATCAAATCTAATCTAATCTAATTCAAAACTGGCTAAAACTAGCTCTAAAAACAAATCTTAAGTTAGAAAAAATTTAAAATGGGGCTTCTTCTTCTTCTTAGTCGTTAACCTTATGCAGGTATCGTGATATCATGAAGCTATTACGTTTTTCAATCTTCTGCCATTCTAGCACATTCTGACAATGGATCGCCAATGGTAGCAACAATATGGTCCGTGTATCGTATGAAAGATCTACTTCTATTTCTTTTGCCTTCTACTTTTCCCTGGATGGTAAGTTTTTCAAGACCATTTTTTCGAAGCACATGTCCAAAATAGCTTATTATTTGTTCTGATATTTGTGTTCTTAGACTATTCTTTATGTTTAGATGGTCCAGTATGGATTCATTTGTTCTTCGGGTCACCCATGGTATTCTCAGCATTTGTCTCCAGCAGTATATCTCAAATACATTTATTTTCTTTTTATCTTTCTCAGTAAGGGTCCAGCATTCCGATGCATAAGTAAAAACTGGAAAAACTAGACTTCTTACTAGTCTCATTTTTGTATCGGTAGTTATTTCATTGCTTTTCCAAATTTTTGTTAATTTTGCCATAGCGCTTTTTGCGATTGCTAACCGCTGCTTTATTTCTTCAGTACAGCCTCCTTTATTGGTTATTAATGAGCCCAGATACACAAATTTATCTACAACAGCGATATTATTTATCATGACCAGATGATTTTGATTGCTGTTAGCTCTGTCAATTATCATGATTCACGTTTTATCTCTTTTTATTTTAAGGCCCATCGTTAAGCTTGCGTCTTCTATCCGTTATAGCAGGTAAATCAATTCAGCTTCAGAACTAGCGAGGATAATAGTATCATCTGCATATCTCAAGTTGCAAATCTTCTCCCCGCCAATGATGATGCCACCGTTCCAGTCCTCAGTAGCGTTTCGCATTAACCATTTACCATAGATGTTAAATAGAATTGGACTTAGTATGCAGCCTTGTCTCACGCCCTTTGTGACCCTGAAACTATCGGTTAGTTCTCCATTTATTCTAACTCTGGCATATGGTTATTGTACAGGCTTTTAATTAGCAGTATCAGATGATTGGGGACTCCCATTTCAGACAAAACCTGCCACATTTTACTCCAGTTGACCAAATCGAAAGCTTTACTATAATCTATAAAGCACAAATATGTTCTGATGTTGAATTATCTGGATTTTTCTACAATCTGCCGTACGTTTAAAATTTGTTTTCTAGTACCACGTTCGGGGACGAAACCTGCTTGTTCCTCTGCAATGTTAGGTAGTAAAAAGGGCTTTATCCTCTCGAGAATTATGTGTAAGAGTATCTTACTGCAATGCGCAATTAGAGCAATTGTGCGATAGTTGCTACATAAATCTTTCGCTTCCTTTTTATGTATGGGAATATATAGTGATTGTGTCCAGTCCTCAGGCCATTTACCTGCCTCCCACACTCTTTGACAAATTTAATGTATTATATTCACTCCAATGTCATCTAGGCCGCAAATCATTTCAATAGGTCGGTAGCTTTCTGACTTTTTTGCCTCATAATTGCTGCTTCAACTTCACTTTTGAGTACGTCAGGTTTCGTCGCAAAACTAGCATCTTCTTGTTGTGATGGGGCGTCTGTGCTTTCCTCCATCATCAGTCGTCCACAGTATTCTTTCCATCTGTGTAAAATATCTTTTTTAAAATGGGGCAAGTTAGTACAAAAAAAAAAAACTTAAAAATGTCCAAGCAATTTAAACCAAGTTAGCAAGAGTTAAAAAAAAGACCGGAAGAGGTTTTTTATCTGTTGTTGGACAGAATAAGAACAAAATTTTCTGCAAAGTTCAATTAACCAAAAGAAAAGACAGTTAAGATTTGATTTTACGTTTGGTGCCTCTATATATTCGCTTATACGTATTTTATCCTACCAGGATTTATCAAAGCCACTGATACATAAGATTGTCAGATGAAAACCTAGAAATGGTTGAGTCCTGGTAGGATAAATACATATAATAGAATGTACAAAGGCACTATACGTGAAATCAAACCTTAACTGTTTTTTCTTTTATTTTGGTTTACTCCTAATGAGTACAAGAAACTAGTTCACCAAGGATTTTTGCTTAGATATGTTGTAAAATGCAACTTGCAGATTCGTTATGTCTTTCTTACATTTTTAAATCTGAATTTTAGTTTCGTCGGCCAATAAATCTTTCCATTTCTACTTTCGTGATTTATTTTTAATTAACTAATCTAAAAACAGGTCGTTAATAAAATATTCAGATCAATTCAAATAAGTGTAGTATTTAATAACAGTAATAATAAATTAAATCGCAATTTTCAGGAACCCTTGGTCCAATTTCTGTTGGAGTACATGCTGATTTTGATTTCTACGGAGGAGGAGTTTTTGATAAACAAGGATGTCCCAATGGTGACGGCGATCTGAACCACGGCATGTTAGCAGTAGGTTATGGAAATGAAAATGGAGTTGACTATTGGATCGTTAAAAACTCATGGGGACAAGAATGGGGAGAGCAAGGATTTATTAGGATGAGAAGAGGTATCAATCTTTGCGGAATTGCTATCGATCCACTATATCCAGTTTTGTGAGGTTGGCGTTAAGGAAAAATACTTATAAAATAATTAAAAATAAAATAAATAAAATATATTTTTTAAAAGTGTTTTAAAATTTTGAAGATACCTTTAAACCATAACTGGAAAGTTCAGATATTCTATCACCCATATAATGGATAATAATCAAACTGGATAAAATGATTTAATTTCTAGATAAGATATGTTTGGTCTAAAATATATGCCATAGACAATTTCTATGTCCCTGTTTTTTACGGAAGAATAAATATCAGTATCTCGTACTTAGCAATATAATAAGTAAGTATTAGGATTAAGCTCAAATTTATTTTTTCGAGTTTTATTTTCGTGGGGTTCTACTCGGGGTACAGGATAGCTGCTTTGCTAAGATATTAATTAAAACCATCTAAGACAATTTTGGTTATTTTTATTTTGACAACTACCCCAGCACTTTTGAAATTTTGATGATTTTTTGAGTTTCAACTTTTTAAGAAAAAAAATTCGATCGAGTCAGCGATACTATTTTTTATTCCTTTATTTCAGCTATTGGGACTATAATATAAATAAAAAAGAAAAAATAGTCAATATAAAATAGGAAATAATGCTTACAAATTGAAGAATAATATAAAAAGTCTCTGTAAAAGATAGCCTTTCTTTAAATGTAGGCATTAAAAGACATGATTTGGGCTTATCGCTAATTATATGTCTCTCCTCTGTGGCCCATAGATGGCAGCACTTGCTTCTGTAGCGAATTTGACAAACATTTTAGTGGTTTGTGGGTGACACGGAACTTTTCTAACATTTCTCAGGATTTATTTTTTTCAATCTGTGGCTCTATAATGCCCTGACATACTACTTCAGTACTGATATTCGTTGTAAGTGAAGGTTTTGTCTTGGTCCTTGTAGTAGAATCCGTAAATGTCTAAAGAATGCATTTCTCTGTATGACTGGGTTAATACCATTTTTAAAATGTTTGTCACATAGCGCGAAAGTTTTATTGTATCACGTATAATATAAATGTTTAGCAACACAAATACAAATTGCCTGTTTTTAAAAGTGTTACAAATTGCCCGTTTCTGAAAGTGTTCCACGGTTAACGCGAGAAAGAGGCCAACGAATTTATGGAAAACGTTGGCCATTACATTTGCCCATTTAATCTTATTTGTAGCAGCCCTGAATAGTTCTATGGAGGTCATGTTCGTCCATTGCCGTAGGTTTTTAAGCCAAGAGTTGCGTCTTCTTCCTGGTCCTCTTTTGGTATTGACTTTTCCTTCGATTATAAGTTGGAGCAGTTCATACTTTTGATTTCTTATGATGTGACCAAAATATTGTGTTTTCCGTTCTTTTATTATAAGCATAAGCTCTCTTTCCTTATTCATCCTCCGCACGACTTCCGCATTTGTCGTATTGCTCATGTAGGATATTCTGAGCATTTTACGGTAACACCAGGGTTCGAATCCTTGGATTGTTTTTTGTGTTGCTTTTGTCATTGTCCAGGCTTCAACACCATAAAGCAAGGTGGAGAAAACATAGCACTTAAGTATTCTAGTTCTCAATGAGATGCTCAGCTGGCGGTTGCATAGAACTTTTTGCATTTTGTAAAACATTGTAAGTGCCTTTTCCAGGCGTATTCTTATCTCTAGTGAAAGGTCCCAAGTTTCATCAAGATTACTTCCAAGGTACGTTGTTCTTGTTACTCTTTCCAGATCTGTTCCGTCGACATTGACCTTTACCCTTCTGTTTTGGTGCTTGCTGATGACCATCGTTTTTGTCTTCTTTGTATTCAATTTCATTCCAAATTCTCTACAGGCTGTCGTTACTCGGTCCATTAAGCGTTGCAGGGCTTCAGCATTATCTGCCAGTATGACAGTGTCATCAGCATATCGCAGGTTATTTATACATTGCCCGTTTACAATTATACCATCCGAGGTACCTTCCAAAGCTTTCTGAAATATCTTCTCAGAGCAAACATTGAACAGCAAAGGTGATAGGACACATCTCTGTCTTACTCCCTTCTCGATATTGATTTTTCCAGATGTTTCGCTTTTTATTCTGATTTTAGCCTTTTGTTCTTGGTAGAGGTTTGAAATGATCCTTAAGTCTTTATCGTCGATATTACATGACCTTAAACTATCTATTAGTTGATCATGTTTCTCCAGGTCAAACGCCTTCTGAAAGTCTATAAAACACAAGTATACATCAGAATCGACATCTCTTCATCTTTCAACTAGCACACGTATTGAAAAAAGTGCTTCTCTTGTTCCGAACCCATGCTTAGAACCAAACTGAGTTTGACCAGTGTGTTCGTCTAGTTTATTGTATACTCTATTGTGTATTACTCGTAGGAAAAGTTTCAATATATGATTCATCAGGCTAAGAATCCTATGGTCTTCACATTTCTTGGAGTTTCTCTTCTTTGGTATAAAATTAAATAGTTTCCAAATAAATTTTCCACAAAATTATTAATACAAATTCATTTTTATTTAAACTAGATGAAAATAACAGAAGTAGGGATAAAGATTAATACTACAATTTTCATTTAGAGGGATAGGTATAGGATTCTTTATTTCGATAAGATGAACATGTGAGTCCCCATTTAGCATCTTACGGTCCTCTTTAGGTTAGCTTTGGATATGTTGTGGTAAAGCACAGTATCCCAAAGAGTACACTGGCAGTGGCGTGTATAGTGGGGTATGTTGGTGGCTGTTGAGATGCAGTCGTCAGTTGACTAAAAGGTGGAAGGCTTGTCTGGATGTGATGTTCTTTCCAGAGTGTAGTGTTCATTTTTTGAGCTAGATGTGACTAAGACCAAGTCTCCAGTTACTATTGTTCCTGCAAGCCATTTTTACGTCGACTTCCAACTTCGAAAATAGTGTGTTGCACTAAGATTCTGTTATCGGATGTTTAAGTTAACGACCAGGCCTCGCCAGCTTTTGAGAGGAAGTTTGCCCCAGGTATCCCAGTGTGAAAATGTTTGCGATAGTTTTAGCCGACCCTAAAATTTGTGACGGCTACAAAATTCAGTTGTCGGCCCCATCGGCGAGGTTACTTCGGTAGCATAAAGAGGACCCCTTTTACCGTCATACTAGTGTGAGTGTTGTATGTGTGAGTGTTTTAAGAGTGAATGTGTGTGATTCTAAATCAGCAAAAACGAAATTTGTGTTCTCTAGTATTGATTGTTCCTGCAATCGTTTATACGTCTGCGACCAACTTTTAAACTAGTGTATTGCACTAAAATTTATGTTATTGATCACTTGCTGTAACGGCCATGCATTGTAGGCGTTCGATATACAGTTTCAATGTCTGCCAACTCAGGTAAGAAAATAGTTGCGGTTATTTTCTCAGAGACGGATAGGTATCGTTGAGTATGGAGATTGTGAAACCGTGAAAGACCAATCCTCCATGTCCTGAGTAAGGAAAAAGACTGGGTTATAGGTAGTTGTACGTAAACCTAGATAAAAGCAGAAACGTTTTAGGGTATCTTGGGTAATAGAGTGAGATCCGTTGATGGTGAGGTTCCTGTTGACAGTTTTGATTCTATCGATGATTGTCGCAACATTTGCGGTGTTATGGATTTCATCGGATAAGAAGTTCTAGCATTTCCTGCAGTATCCTGTACTCTGCAGCGATTAGTTTTTTCTTATGGTTATCTTTTAAAAGGCAATATAAGTTAGATTTATACTTGATTATGAGCTGACTGCATGGTTTATAAGTGTGTCCGAGAGTTTTTGTATGTGTTTTTTCAATTTTCCCTGTAAGTGCTATGAGGAAGCGAGCTCATTTTTGACCCTATCTAAAGTTACATGTAAATCCGGTTCATAGTTAAGTGTCTTGGTGAAAAAAACACCCAAATAGGAAAATGTCGCGTGGCTATCGAGTCTTTGTTTTATGAAATTCAGGGGGAATCGTTCATTATCGCGGGCGACGACTCTGGCAGATGTTTTGGACTGCGGAATACAATGGTTTACGTTTTTGCAGCATTAAGTGTAACTTCCCACTTTTGCACCAATCTTCGACGCCGTTTAGAAGAGTTTGTGCTCTTCGAAAAGTTCTCTGAGGAAAATAACCGTTTGCTGTTGTGAGGAGGGCACTATCATCTGCGTAGAGACACAGTTGAATGCCTGGAATGTTTTTTATACTCACGATGTATAATATTAATAATTGTGAATATATCAAGGATAAGGTAATTAGAGAAGTGGAATTATTTTTCCCCTTTCTCAAGTTTTTTTCGTATTTTAATAGTACATTTTAAGTACATATTTTTTTTTTATTTAGTTAATGCCTCGACAACTATGATCATTGGCATGGTACAGTCAGGTACCTAGTGTAGTGTGTGTGTATGTGTGTAAATACCTTTGTTATTGTTTATTGTTTTGATACGAAGATGCACGAAGTTCATGATTTCTTACGAAGCCACCGAACAACGGTGACGAAGCATCACGAAGTTGATCTTGTGTTTGAAAACATCATGGACGTATGAAAACATTTTCTCCACTTTGTGTGTTTACATATTTTATGTGACAAGCAAATTTTATTTTAAATTGTTGAGGGTTATTTACTTACTATTTTAGTAAAATGCCATACTATTTTATCAAAATAATTATTTCTCTTATAGACGAGAACAAAAAGAAATCATAAATATTTAATTTTAATTAAAAAAATAATTATTGTCAATAACATTTAAATGAACACGCCGCTGTTCTGGTAAACATACCTTCAACCTTGAGCAGAGATCTTTGAGACACTCGATAATATAGCGAGAATAGGGGACCGCTTAGTCTATATATTATACGTCATTGGTGTAGAGTAATTGTCTTGATACTTAGCAAAGTCGACGTCATTGTCTTTGCTAAGAGATGTTAATTGTATCCAAACGTCTGCGGTCCCTCCAGTGAGTAGCGATCGCACATGGATAGAAATTATTTTCATTCATTAATTTTTAATAAACAAAAAGTTCTCTACCCAGATGGGATTCAAACTCACGACCTTTAGGTTTAAAGGTAGGCGCTCTTACCACTGAGCCACAGAGGGGGTTAAGTACATATTTAAAACATCTTAAATGCTTAAATTTATTTTAATTTTTT